CATGAATGAATCTCACTGGCACAATATTGGCAAAAGAATTCAGACACGTAAGAGTTCATATATATGATTCCACTACAATGGAGCTCAAGAGTAGGCAAAACTAATCACTAGTAACAGATACCATGAAAACAATAAACTTGCTGAGAGTTTAGCCAAAGGAAGGTATTGAGCAGGAGGACACAGGATATATAAATTTATTTAGCTGAACATTTAAAATCTGTGCATTTTACTTTGTGTGGGTTAAGACATAATAAAAAAAGAAAAAAAACACTATACAGTGGCTAATGAACATAAAAAATTAAACTAAATTAAAAAAATTAAAAAAAAAACAATAAAGAAAAGAAAAAGAAAAAAGACAAAGGAAGGAAGGGAAAAGAGGAGAGGCTCTGCCTATCAGGAGTTTTGCCAAATTGTCTTTGGCAAATCAATTAAAATCTTCAACTGTTCTATCATCAATAAAGGGAAATACCAGCCCTAACAAATTAAAGGGAAAAAACCTCCTCAAATCTGAACTCAAATCAGTTCTACAAAGCACAAAACAACCATAAGGTGTATTACCTCATATGCAGGAACTAAAATATATATAAGCTCAAGAATTCTCTTGAAGTTTGGCTTACTCAAAGAGATCGTCTAGTCAATACTCATAAAATACCAAGATTAAATTAATGCCTAAATTAAGATTATTTAGTCTTAGACTTTTACCAAAAAAACCCCGTAATTTCATTATTAATTTACAAATTTCTAACTCTCCTTAAAGCATTGCTTTCAACCTAATTGGCTCAGTCATGTAATGAGATTCTTTACTATATAGAAAAATTGTGAACTTGAGAAAATATTATTTACTTTATAAATTATTGCTTTATATACAACTTCCAAGAACACATCTAATGCACCATATTAGATTACTTATTATTATTATCAGTGCTATGCTTTGACAATGATTTGTAAAAGAAAATCTTATACTGAAATACCTTATCACTTTACTTTCTTTTGTATTGCCAGAATATACTTCCAGACAGTCCTTCCAAAAATCTGATCAGAAAAACAAAACTCACAGATTCTTATCTTCCCTCCTTAATGTTCATTCCGTGCATGTATTTTAATGATCCCCAATGTTTAAAATGTATTAATTTTGTGGCAAGAAGATAAAAGGCAATTAAATAATGAAAATCCTCCAAGAATTGCTTTAAGTAAATAACAATACTCTTGAAACTTACACAGTCACATAACTGATTGTGAATTCCTTTGAGTCCTCACAGACTTCACAGTTCACCAGCCAGAGAAGACTACAGTTAAATAACAGGCCTGAACTGTATGAATTCCTGACACAGCCACTTATTTCTGCTACTTGGGCAGCACTTTTGGGTGCACTTAACAACCAAGTGGAAAAGAACTAAATCATTAAAATACTCTACCTCTTCTTTTTTTTTCTACCTCTTCTGGAAGACTGAAAAGTGCCACATCAGCACAGCATTAAATTAAAAACAAAGCCAAAACAGTAAAACTATCTTCATATTAACAAGGATATTAGAACTGCCACAGAAAACAATTTAAGAAAAGTTTCATTTCTCTCATTCTAAAATGCTGTTACTCTGTGCTAAAACATGCATGAATCTCAAAAACATTATGCTAAGTGAAAGAAGCCAGTTATAGACAACCAACCACATGCTATGTGCTTTATTTTTATGAAATGGCCAGAAGAGACAGAAAGAGAGACAGCAGATGAATGGTTGCCAGAGGTTGGGAGTGGGGAGTAGGAATGAGGAAGGACTGTTAATGTGTACAGGGTTTTCTTTCTGAGGTGTTAAAAATGTTATAAAACTAGATGTGCTAATGGCTGTACAACTCTGTAAATATACTAAAACCTACTGAACTGCAAATGGATGGATTTTATGGTGTGTGACATATATTTTGATTTAAAAAAACTTAAAAATTTTAAAAACTAAATAAAATTGAAAATTTATTTCCTCACTTGCATTTACACCTTTCCAAGTCCTTAATAGCCACAAGGGGCTACCATAATGGACAGTTCCAACATCATGGGAAGTTCTGATGGACAGAACTGCTCCAGAACATTAAAAGACAAGATGAAATAATAAGGAGAACCCAGCAACTTCATCAAGTTACTTACTATCAATGAAACAGTGTTTATCTTGCAGTAACTAATGCCAAACTGGATCGGCAACAAAATGGCCAGAGATCAAGACATAGTCAGATGGGGAGTCACCTTGCTCCCTCCTATACAAGTATAAGTGAAGCTGGACAGAAGAAAAAGAAAATAAACCAACAAGAAATTCCCAGATTCTTTCTAAATCCTGCAAAGCCTGTGAGAGATCACAGTATTCATCTTTTTATCAGGGCATCAGCACTAATCAATGTCCACAGCTGTGCAGCTTCCTCAGAACAGAAGACTTGAGTACTCACATTCGAGACCCAGTAAAGAACTGAACAGTTTATGGTAGGTGCATTAGATTTGGTGTCATGTATTATTTTCATCTTCAGGCAAAGACAACAGAATGCATGTTAAGGAAAGTCTACTTATGTAAGGACATTTAAATAAAAATGTTTGTAATGATCCACTCATAACTTACAATGATGCCATTTTAAAGGTAAGACTGTTGAATCATTCTTAATTCACATTTTGCGGTATAAAACTTGTGTGTTTTCTACTGACATCAAGTGGCAATATTGTGTAATGCAATTTCCCAAACTGCTTTTCCATGCTCTGGGAAAACCTAAAGGGACTTTAAGATGTAATACCAATATCTGTACAAGGCTGAGCAGGCTCTGCGACTTGGGAAACGCCTAAAGACCCAACTGCAGGGATGCCTGGGTGGCTCAGTCGTTAAGCGTCTGCCTTCGGCTCAGGTCATGATCCCAGAGTCCTGGGATCGAGCCCCGCATCGGGCTCCCTGCTCAGCAGGAAGCCTGCTTCTCTCTCTCTCACTCCCCCTGCTTGTGTTCCCTCTCTCACTGTGTCTCTCTCTGTCAAATAAATAAAATCTTTAAAAAAAAAAAAAAAGACCCAACTGCATTTCTGTTGCCTCAAAAGGAATTCTCTTGGCAAGCAATTCCTTTCTTTGGGGTTTTTGCCACTCATTACCTGAATGACTTTAGGCAAACTGGTGTTGCAATTCTGTGCAGCCTCACTGCTCACATCTATACAATGTGGCTTACAGTAAGACCTAAGTCAAAGAGGGAGTGTGAATATTCAAGGAGATGTAAATGTAAACTGAAGAAAGCAGTGCTGGGCACATAGTAAGAGCTCAATAAGTATTAGTTACCAATTCAGATTCCCCTCTTAAATCATATCAGAGAAGCTACCACCTTATGCTCAACTTATTAAAATCTGCATTCCAAGTTGATAGCCAGTAGAAAAAGTAAGAACCTTCAGGAAGAGACAGCAAGTATGTTTAAGTTTGAAGGGTATGAGAGGGAAGGTCAAATATCAAAGGCCATCTTTTCCTTACTCACAATTACCTCTGATGCTAATTCTGTTTGGGAGGTATGTGTAGGAGTCTACCAAGTAAACCACTCTGACTAATGTACTGCCAATTCAATTAGTTAGTTTTGTTTTTCCAATACACTGAACAGAAAAGAACAAGATAAGAACGTCATGTCACCAGAGCTTGCAACTCATTATGTAAGCTTTATGAACTTACAAACACATTAACAATCACTCAAATAAGTTTATAAGATATATAATTCTGAAAATACCTTTTTAAAAATTTATCAATAAGTCTAATACATGAATTAAATAATTTTTCAAAATTTCAAACCCGTAAAAATTCAAGTCACAAAAATAAAGATTCTCAACTTAAACACGTGCTTATGACTGAATATCTAGACTTCCAACCTATCACCTCCTTACCCCACTCTGACCCCAAGATCGCTCTTCTAGTTCTGCACCTTGTTCTGGTTCCTCTTCAGAAGGTTAATAGCCATATTCTGACCTAACACACTATTTGTCAAATCCTTCAACCCCTGCCCCAAGAGAAGCCTTGCTCTTGGCTGTGAAAATGGGTGCTGCTGCCATCTACAGTCTCAGAGCACACAAACAGATATATTCCAAGCTGATTATGGAAGTACTGGTAATTAATACGGATATTACAGGGCTCCTACACAGCTTCATTTAGGTCTACTACCGGCAGGTGGTAGACACTGCCCTCTGAAGATGCCTTCCAGTTTCCCAGAGATATTTCCCACTAATGAAGATAGATGCACCTCACCTACATTTCTAACTTTCTTTTTCCCTATCTTATTCTCAATTGGCTCTAATCATGCCAACCCTTACTTGTCCAATTTTAGTATATGTGCTGCCGAAGCGAGCACGCCAACCCTTACTTGTCCAAACTTACTGCCAGTTCTTGAAGTATTCAGAATATAACAAAGATAAACTGTTCCCAAATGGGGAAGATAAGTCCAACCAAGAAGGGAACTTGGGGAGACGTGATTAATTTTAACCTTTACCCTTCTGGCTCTAAAAAATGTGGGGAGAGTATGGCCAAAAAAAAACGGGTAGGTGGAGGTTCTGGCCAGCATACAGCCCCACGTAAAGCCTTGAGCAACACAATGCAAGTAATGAGTTTTAATGCCATCAGATACCTGAACTGTTTTCAACTCCTTGACACACTATTCACGTATCTGTTAAACAGGTCTTGCATAGGTTATCATATAACTGAAGCCTGAAAGAGAGTAACTTCGTGATTATTCACTCCAGCTGTACATCTGAATTCAGACTCTTGCCTTGATTCTCAGGTCTAAGATAAAGGACCTGAAAAGAAGAGCAACAGGGAAGAGCAAGTCTCCTATCTACCAACAGACCATAAATATTTATATATACATAAATATATAGTTTTACAATGCTATTTAACCTAACTGAAGATTAATATGGATTTACATTTGGGGAACTAGTAAACATCTTTAAAATTTTAAATGACTCAAAATAAATTATATTCATGGTGTTAGGAGGCCAGTGAATTAAGAAGGAATATACTTACATCACTTGAAGAGACTGTTCCTGTTTCAACAGCGACACCGCTACCACGCAGTTTCTATTATGAAATAAATAACTTATTACTTAGTTTTGTTTTTAATTTTTATCCTAATTTATCAGCTTATGAAAGGGAGCTAAGCCAATTTTATAAATTTTTTTCCTAATCCTACTTAATGGAGTATCATCAACTAATAAAAAGCATGGGGATGACACAAAATATTCTAAATATTACACTTTTTCAGATAACTTAATTAAAAATGGAACAATAATAAACTGAATACTAAGCTCCAGCTAAATTTCATAAATGATGCTGGTGCAAATTTCCAAGTCTCAGAATTTACTTACTGAATTGTTTTTCAAGTAAGATAACTATCTTAAGCTGAACTATCTACATTATATTCTGTGGCAAAGCTTTCAAAATAGGTGCCTAGTAATGGGAAGATTCTACACAGAACTTAAAATTAGATTATTGACAGCAATGCTAGCAAGTTATAATGACAATCAGAATTTCACATGTTATATAATGTCTAAATGACATATAGAAATGACTAAAAAAAGTTAAGGTAGAAAGTCAAAGGTTGAATGTGCAAGAGAAAAGTAGTAATGAATTTCTGAAAGGAAATTTTTATTTCGTTTTATTCAAACTAATTTTTTTTATCTACTAAGTGCCAGGCATGAGGCCCCCCGCAACCCATATACAGTGCTTAAACTACCAAAAAGGAAAAAGCTCCTAAATGTCACTTATATAAAGTCAACAAAATATCCAAACTTGCAACTAATTTGGACTTCTGAAAGTTTATTTCTATTAAAATTATGAAGTTGTGGTCCTTTTATGAGGGAGAAAACACTAACAATAGAGAACTTCCAGATACAGCACCATCACATGACATTTAAGCAAAGTAGCAAAGAAAATCCCAAATAATCCTATGTTTCATTCTTTAAACAAGAAGTCTATAATTTGATCCTGAGAGAAAGCTTTGCAAGAAGTGTCTGCCCACAGCAAGAGAGACAGTGCAGTTCAGAACCTAGCAGAAGCAGAGACCAGACTCTGAGAAGCAAAGCCAGAAGGGGCCTGGGCACCCTGAAGAGTCACTTTGTAGCAGGACTTACAAAGCAGAAACACCATATCATAACTACAGAAAGCCAAAGACTTTGTGATAAAAAGAACGTACCAGAAAGATAAAGAAAAGGTCTTTTAAAGCATTTATCTAATACCAAGGAGCTCAGTTCTAATGAAAATTGTTCTAGACACTGAATATTTTGCTTCCACTAGTGATGATAAAGATATTTCCCCCAATTCTTGGACACAGTTATAACCACAGTTAATCATTTCAAAAGTAACAAATCATCTGCAAGGCACAATACAAATGTTATTCTTGTGAGAAAACAACCCAAAATGTTAGTGGCAAACTACAGTATATATTCTATCCTACCAATTTTCATTTTATGAATCTAGTTACGATAGAGTCTCACTACCATTACCATAAAGCTAATGCTAAAGCAAACTGAAGTTTGTTCAAAGGAAGAACTAATTTCAAAAAAGAAAAAAGAAAAGGAGGGGTAAGGGGAAGGTTAAGCATTCTGATCCTAAATGATACACACCTAGAAATTTAAAATCTCATCTTCATACACTTATTTTTCATGTTCTAAATATTATGTTTTTTAAATACCTCACAATTTCTGTAAAATCTGCAAATTTGTGGCTCTTGTAAAAATACTTTTAAAAACTAAGCCAGGGGCGCCTGGGTGTCTCAGTCAGTTAAGCGTCCAACTCTTGGTTTCAGCTCAGGTTGTGGGATCGAACCCCGTGTTGGGCTCCACGCTCAAAAGAGAGTCTGCTTCTCCTCTCCTTCTCCCTCTCCCTCTGCCGCTCCCCCTGCTCGCAAGTTCTCTCCTTCTCTTTCTCTAAAATAAATAAATCTTAAAAAAAAAAAAAAACTAAGCCAAACAGATATATAAAAATTTATGCTACTGATATAAAAAAACACTTAATTATGTTCAATACACTCCAAAATATATCCAATATATATCCAAATATAAAGACAATGAGACTTCCCCAAAAAGGCAAGCAATGGTAAGACAAAAAGTAAACCCAAGTAAATGTCATGGTGTCTCTCTTATGCCTCAAATTAAAATCTATTAAAATGTCACTGAAATCTGAATTACAACTTTCTAAAAATTTATTTCAAATAGACATTTATTTGTAATCTAACACTGACAACACACTAACTACCAATATTATTTTACTGGTCCCATTCCTCATGTAAGCCATCCCCACACCAAAGTCTCATTCTCTTCTACCCTTTCTTCCCCAGAATACTCCTTCCCCACCCACCTTCATTTCACTCCTTTCCTGAGGATCATTCCCAGTCTCCCCCTTACCACTAATATTAGTCACTGGAAGCCGAAAGGAAAGAACCACTGAGCCACCGTAAGTGTCCTATCTTTTGCCTGTTCTAGAGAACCATGAAGACAAAAACAGAAAACCTGTCATTTTCCCCATCATTTAACCAGCAAGCTATTTCCTTCATGAAGTAGAGCTAGAGAGGTCTGAAAGCAACCAAGATGACCATTAAGCAGCCTTCACTAACCCTAGGCCCAAATGTTCTATCCCACAGTGACACAGTAAATCCTGGGAAGGTGCCATTGTGCAATGGTTACCTTGCAGCTGGGCCCAGCAGCTCCAGGCCTACCCAGGGGCACCCGGAAGCCTTGTATGGACTCTTGAGCAAGACCAGAATAACTGGATTGACCAATGATCTGTAATGTGCTGTCTGTAGTTTAAAACTCCCCTGGTAGCACCCAGAGCCAGTTTGTTTATTGGTGTAATGAGTGAGACAGCTTGGCCTGGTTCTGTGACCAGAAGGACATAAACGATCCTGCTAGAAACTTACGAAGAGCTCTCCCCAAACCCAAAACTTCCTGCACAAACCTTGGAGAATCAAGGTCCCCAAGGCATGGGAGCTGCAGTTGAAGTCTCTCAGCCCGAAGCTTGCCTGCACTCTGTCTCCTGCTATACCGTTCCTTTTCCCTTCTTACAAGCCTTACATGAGTATGCTGTCTGGAATTGTGCAACTCCTCTCAGTTCTCCCACCTGTGTGATCTTGGTAGCCACCCAGAAGGAAGAGACTCCCTGCCCACTAAAAAGCATGAATGGAAAATCCCAAGTGGCAAAGACAGAAAGGTTTGAGTTGAAGCTAGTCAAAGAAAGAAAAAGTAAAGCATACTACCATACCTAAGAGTAGTTTGACTTACTTATCAAGTTCAAAGTGGCATTATTTTAATATAACTTTTTTTGTAATTTCACTAATAGGTTAATATGGGTGTCACATTCCTTTCAAAGATACTAAAAAAAAAGTCTTTTACCTGTGAACTCAGCTGAGTTTTTATCCAATTGAAATAGTAATTTAAGTCACTGCCTTCCATTAGTTCTTTCCCCCAAGCTGCTAACTTCGCAATAATTCTTGCTGCCTGAAAAAAAAGATGTATTTGAATATTATGTTGATTCTAAAATCACATCATATACCTTAAAAAGCAGGACTCACAACCACTTTGCTGTGATTTTTTTCAATCCTCAACTCCTCCAAAATAAGTTTGTATTTCATTTTTTAAAATACATCTTGCAATATAGTCAAAATGTATTTTTAAAAAGCTCCTTTCAGGTGAAACAAAATTAGTTATATTTTAAGAATTTCATGACATTCCTTGTATTATTCTGAGTTCCAAAAGTAAGATTGGGATTCATTATAAGGCCAGCAAAAATCAAAAGAATCTTTTTTTTGGAGACAATAATAAGTATTTTTAATGAATTTGTAGATGTTGATATTCAAAAATCTGCAGACTTCCATCAAATTGCTTGCCAGAGTTCAGAGCAATGTCTACAACAAATTGCCAGCTGTGGCCTTCATTCATTCCAAATCCCCGTGAGTCCTCACGCTTAAAAATCCCTATCTTAGTGGGGCGCCTGGGTAGCTCAGTTGTTAGGCGTCTGCCTTCGGCTCAGGTCATGATCCCAGAGTCCTGGAATCGAGCCCCGCATCGGGCTCCCTGCTCAGCAGGAGGCCTGCTTCTCCCTCTCCCACTCCCCCTGCTTGTGTTCCCTTTCGCGCTGTGTCTTTCTCTGTCAAATAAATAAATAAAATCTTTTTTAAAAATGTTAAAAAAAATCTCTATCTTAGTATAAAATACATCTTGCATATTAAATAGCCATCTCTCCTCACTATAAACCGTTTCTCTTCATCTAAAGATTTCTCAGGTTTCTTTAAGCTATAAAACCATGAATTCTTTATTAAATAGGCAGTATAAGAATACATATAACAAATCATCATGTACATTTTAAATACCTTACAATGTGTCAATTATACCTCAATAAACCTGGGAAATACATACACACACAAAAAAAAAATACAGGCAGTATAAAACACTAACTTCTCCACACACAAACCCAATTTAATATTCTTCCAGTACTTTCTGAAAGAAAGTCACCATCAAAATTAGGAAGTCATTTAAGCCATGTATCCAGACAATAAAAACAAGTCTCTACAATTTAAAAAGAAGAAAATGTATTATTGGTTTTTTTAAAAGTATTCTTTAAAATATAGTTTATTTCAGGGGCGCCTGGGTGGCTCAGTCATTGGGCGTCTGCCTTCGGCTCAGGTCGTGATCGCAGGGTCCTGGGATTGAGCCCCACATCAGGCTCCCTGCTCAGCGGGAAGCCTGCTTCTCCCTCTCCCACTCCCTCTGCTTGTGTTCCCTCTCTCACTGTGTCTCTCTCTGTCAAATAAATAAATAAAAAATCTTAAAAAAAATAAAAATAAAATATAGTTTATTTCATGAGTCCTCCTTGATTTCTCTTAAGATTTTATAATATGTACAATATATGAATAAACTCATACATAAATGAATATAGAGATATATGGAGAGAAAGAAAGAAGACATGCTCAAAAAAAAAAAAAAAAACTACTAACAGTAGTTCTTGATTTGAAAAGTTCAAAGACATCTACTGAAATGAATAGTCTCAGGAGCTCCCCACTGCAGCCCACTCCATGCTGGGAATAGAAAAGGCTTGTACAAAGATTTATTCTCTCAACTCTCCTCTCATACCTTCTCTATACTCCATAAAAGACTGTTCAGTGTTAAGGCTTCCAAAGATAGCCTTTCAGGGTTAAGTTTAAAACAGGAGTGTGTTTAAGATATTAAAAAACAAGTGATTACTAAAATAAAATAAAAATTAAGCACCATAGCTACTTCTAAATAAAATTTAATTTCTGTAGTAAAATGTGGTTAATCCTGTCACAGACAATCTAAAGCTCTTTTGGAATGCAATCTAGCAAAGGCTTTTATGCTAATGAACTCAACAAATACTCTACAAAACTTTAACTGTATCAAAGCAACTCCATCTCCTTTGTCTTCCCAATATCCCCACATTACTAACCATCAATAAGGAAAATTGGAAATTTTAACATCACAGCCTTTGCTCCTCTGGGAACTGGAAGGTTACCAAATCATAAATAGCCCAAGTGTGTTTCTTCCCCAAATCAGAAATTTGATCAATTCAAAATTTACCATATGAACAGTAAAGAGATCCTGGCGATTCAACATTGGTAGAAAGTAGGACCAGGCAGTGTTCTTGCTGCGTTTAGCATAGTCAAAGAAAATGCTAACCCGCTGGTGATTTTCCTAAAAAAGAAAAGAAATTATATCACTGCTTTTTACTACTGTGTACTGCTTCTCAACCTTTATTCTGTGTCCCATCAGTCAGTGTGTTTTCTTCCTCCAGTTGTTATTATGGGTCAGGGGTGGTAAGGGGGGCAGGCATAGATACTTTAAAAATAAAATCACTTTTGGGAGGTGCTTAGGTGGCTCAGTCAGTAAAGCGGTTAAACACCCGACTCTTGATTTCGGCTCAGGTCATGATCTCAGGGTTGTGAGACTGAGCCCTGCATTGGGCTCCACACTCAGTGGGGAGTCTGCTTGAGATTCTCTCTCCCTCTCCCTTTGCCCGTCTCCCCTCCCCCAGCACACACACATGCACAGGAGCATGCTCTCTCTCAAATAAATAAATAAATATTTAAAAATGTAAAATAAAATCACCTTTAATTATTATGATTAGCTTTAAGTCAAGTGAGCCAAGCTAGCAGATCCCAACCCTGCAGGGAGTAGCAATCTGTTACATTTCATCTGAGCCTGCACCTCTGACCTGCCCTTCCCAATGTTTTTTCCACACAAAATCAGGTTACTCCTAGAATATTGTGACAGAAAAATCAGGGCAGAAAAAGATAGCAAAAAACAGCATATAACACTAGCAGAAAGACACAGGATTTGAGGAACAATTCTTAGCTCAAAACATGCATACTCTACCTCTCACCTAAATTTTACCTGCATTTCACTGGCTCAAAATACACTTTCTGATTAATTAAATGAATATAATTCTAAGTAGCGGTACTTGGTAAAACACAAAAAAACCATAAAAAATAATTTTCAGATCAACATTTAATTCTTTTTAAATATATTGTTTTTAATCTTGGTCTTTGCTAACAGTTACCTATTTGAGGAAGAGACTAACATCTCCTTAAGTAATGAATCATTATAGTTGAGAATAACAACTGCAAGTTATGATGATTTTATCAAAGGACTCAAAATTTGGATAGGTCATCATTTACTCCATTGGTGGGTTATTTCCCAAGTTAAAACTGTAATTATCATTGCACATAAATGAACAAAGTACACTAAATACAGAAAGAACAGAAAATATTTTTACATTTTATGTAAGTTTAAAATTCATCTTCCTTGGGGTGCCTGGGTGGCTCAGTCAGTTAAGTCTCTGACTCTTTATTTCGGAACAAAGTACACTAAATACAGAAAGAACAGAAAATATTTTTACATTTTACATAAGTTTAAAATTCATCTTCCTTGGGGTGCCTGAGTGGCTCAGTCAGTTAAGTCTCTGACTCTTTATTTTGGCTCAGGTCATGATTTCAGGGTCATGAGATCCAGCCCCACATGGGGCTCCCCGCTCAGCAGGGTGTCTGCTTGAGATTCTCTCTCTCCCTCTCCCTCTGCCCCTTCCCCCGCTCTCTCTTGCTCACTCTCTCATTCTCAAATAACTAAATAAAATCTTAAAAAAAAAAAAATTCATCTTCCTTGACTAGTCCTTTGTGGTTTCAATTCCTGCTTAAAAACGTATCTTCCAGAGGAGGAATTAAGATGGTGGACTGAGCTAGCCTCATAGCTCAAACACAGCTGGGTCAACCAAATCATTTTGATCTGAGGATTAAGAAAACAATCTGCACAACTGAAGGGACAGAACGTGACAGATGCAAAGTTCAGAGACATGAATGGGGGAAAGAAAAGCCACGGTGCCCTGAAGGGGAGAGAGCCCTTTTAGTGGAGGCAAGTCAGGGAGAAGGAGAGAGCAGGGGAGAGAGCACTGTGCAGGGTTCACACAAGATGCTTCAGTGTGGGGATCCCCTGGGTTGCACCAGGAGAGAACACTCCCCTTCCTGGAGTACACTTGGAAGAGGGTATGCATTGCCTCTCCAAGGAGAAAAGGCCCACCGGGCACCACTCAGCAGTCGTTCAATAGCCAGGGACAGACGTGTACACAGAGGACAGATAACCTGGTCTGCAGCTTTTCCTGGTGCACAACAGACTCCAGCCATCTTGCATAAGCCATGTAACTGCTTTTCTGGGACAGAACGGAACAAGGCACCAGGAGGCTCTCCACCGGGGGCAAGGGAGAGGGTCCGAGCCCTACCCGGCCCTTTAAGATTTGGAGTTTTGAATCCCAGCCCCTTGCCAGAGATAAAACACAGGAGAACTGTGATGCCAGGAAGGCAGGGGTCTGATGAAAGCCTGGGACACAAGAGGGGAGATTGTTCACTATACTGTGAGGACTTCCTGAACAATGGTAGCTGCGAGCACCCCTTCTGGGGGACAAGAGGGCAGGGTAGCACCATCTTCCACGTGCACACATACATACACACACACACACACAAACACACACAGGAACACACCGCCCACCAGCACCACAGGACTTCAGAGAGAAACACAGTGCCTCCAGTGGAGGCTTGAGTCCCCTACACCAAACCCCACCTCCCTGCGCCCACCAAAGGCATCCTTACAAGGGCAAGTCTGACTATGAGCCGGCCTAGCAGGCCTCTCCCTCAGAAGACCAACACAGGCCCCCCGTGTGTGCCAAGTCTACCAATCACAGAGTGCTCCAAAGCATCAGCTTCAGTTCTGGTGGAAATAGGACGAGGCTTTCTTTTTTATTATTATTAATTTTTACTTATTTTACTTCTTTTTTTTCTTTTTTCTTTGATATCAGGTTTAGTTTTTTTTCATTTGTTTTGGTTTCTTTCCTTCTCATTTTTTGGATCAGGCTTCTTTTTTTTTCTTTTTCTTTTCTTTTTTCCTTCTTTCTTTCTTATTCTTTGGAATCAGGCTTATAGTTTTTATTGTCTGTTTTTTGGTTCCTTTTCCTTTTCTCTTTTCTTGGATCAGGATCCCTTTTTTTTTTTTAATCAGGCTTATCTTAACAAACAAATCAAAGCACACACAGTTAAAGGTCCAAACACTCCCCAAGCAAGGAGGAACTCTACAGAGTACCAACCTGTGGTACAGAGCTGCCAAAACACAACAGCAGAGTACACACAGAATATACCAGAATCACCTCCTGAAGTGCCAGGCCCTAGGCAGTGTATGACCCCTTTTTAATATAGTATTATTCTCAGGAGCAGGAAACATAACAAGCTTTCATAATATGCAAAAGACAGAAACCTAGATATAATGACAAGATGGAGGAATTCTCCCTAGAAGAAAGATCAAGAAGAAATAACAGCCAGGGATTTGCTCAAAACAGATATAAGCAATATACCCGAACAAGAATTTAGAACAACAGTCATAAGGATACTAACAGGGTTTGAAAGAAGCACAGAGGGACGCCTGGGTGGCTCAGTCGGTTAAGCGCCTGCCTTCGGCTCAGGTCATGATCCCAGGGTCCTGGGAT